CCTGTAAGCCTCAGTGCAGGTGTGAAAAAATGAGATGCCAGCAAGATGCATTCCAATGGTTATTCCTTGTAGACTCTGAAGGATTTAGCTCTGAATAAACATGACTAAAAAGCAGCTTCATGAATTATAACTCACATATTAAAGAGAAATATTTTGATTTTTAAAATTGAATGACAGATATTTTTACCCAATAGAGAGCAATTTTACCAATAGAATCCCTAAATAATTCTTTCAGCATTCAAATAATTCACCTGCATTTTTGTTGAGCAAGTAAGATATAAAAATTCATAGTATGAAATCACAAAAGGTGCATCCACCTTACTCTTTATTTTCTTCCTTAGCAGAAAGACGGTCATCTCCTACTCAGTAAAAAAGACTAAAGAATATAGAAAAAAGCACAAGAATATATCTGCTCCAAACTGAGCAACCCCTTAATCTGATGCAGAAGACAGTCTTTACTCTGAGGCCTGAGCAACTTAATTCTGTACAAAATAATGAATGAAGAACACTGTTGGATTCTCCTATGTAATCCATAGGCAGCATTGAAATGGTTCAATTCACTGCACAAAACCCCAGCTACTAGAACCAGTAACAACAAACTTGTCAGTGAGTAAGACTATGATGACTGGAAATTCTGAGGCATGAAAATCCTTTATTCAGAGGTTTGAGGAAGCAGCAAGAAAAGAGCAACACCTGGGAGATTTGGGAAGCACGTTCTGGAGATTTCTTTTGTCCAACAGGTCCTGAACAACCTTGACAAAAGCGGATGGAGAACACATGTTTAGGGCATATTCAGATGACACTGAACTGGGGGAAGCAGACACAGTAGTTAATACAACAATCAGCAGAGTGCCAAGTCACAAATGACTGAGCCGACAGCATCTCACAAATTTCACTGGGGTAAAGTGCAACTGTTTACTCCAGCAACGGAATTACAATAACCTAGGCTGGGAACTGACTTGCCTGAGTACCCTACCCAACCCTAAGCCCGGAGTTTATGGCCAGCAGGGTGTTGAAGACAAGGGAAAAGTGTATTGTCACTAGACACAATGCAAACCACACTCTTGGCTGCATTAGGAGGCGTATGGCAAGCAAAAGAAAGATAGTGGGCCTACGCCTCAGGGAAGATGGGAAGAAACTGGTATCATCTGTTTGACTGTATCATCTATTAGCAATATTTGAGGGGTTTAGGCTCCCTTACTCTGGTGAAGAAGGGGCTAAAGGGTCAACTAATCTAACAGCAGCCTACAACTACCCAAAGAGTCATTAGAAAGACAACATTGACAAACTTTTCTCAGTGTGGGTGTAGAGGCCCAGAGAAGTTGACTTTAGTGGTGGGGTAGATTGTGGTGGTGTGTACCCCTCACCCCAGGTTGCATTATGATCTGAGAAATGCTCATTAGGTCTCAGTCTTAATGAACTGCACCTGGACTAAACTGTTCTTGAGCTTACCAGAAACAACATATGTTCACAGGAAATAGTGCTGGCTAACAAGCTCCTGTGTTTTAATAAGGGGTTAATGTGCATGTCTCACACACTGATAATCAGATGGCTGTGGAGCCAATCAAGGACTGTAGGTAATAACACACCACGAGTAAGAACAAGATTTGGCCAAAGAAGGGCAGAGATAGGGCAGCACCTGTCTAGGACAAACATCCTTGTTATAGGTCTTGGGGATAACAACTTAGAGAAAGTGAGCAACCTGTCTTCAGGGCAGAGAAACCTGTCCATAACAAGGTACCCACACCAAGTCCATCGTAGCAGTGGCTCCCTCTGGACCCTGGACATCTCATTGCCGGAGTGATGCTTATCAGCTGAATTGATGCCAAAGACAGGACTGACATCCCATCAGCCAGATTAATGCTGGAACCAGGACCGGTGATCTCTTTTTCTGTCTTTTCTCTCTCTTTTCGTTTTTCTTCCCTCCCCAACCCCCCTTTCTTTCGCTTTTTCTTTCTTTTTGATTTCTCTCTTCCCCTTTACCCTACCCCTTTATCCAAAATCCACTGCTGCGTGCTTATATGATAGGGCAGAGACTAATACACCAATTCCTAAGCTAAGAGTGTAATTTATTATAGCACTTCCTGATTGTTTCTGGACCCTCTGACTTTTGTCATTCCTTTTGACCATGAGCATTTACTAATCAAAGATGCTTCCTCGTTGTCATGGGGGGGCTGATGTGACACAGCAAGTCATAGCCAGCAGATTTGAAGGTTCACACTAGATATTAGGCACATTTTGCACTAAGGCTGTGGAACAGGTTTCATGGAGAGGCTGTAAAACTTCAGTTCCTGAAGGCTGACATGGGTCAGCTAACACAGTCATGTTTGACTGCCCTTGGCAATTGTTCTGCTTTGAGCAGGAGGCTGGTCTAGATGACCTTCAGGAGTCCTTTCCAACCAACATTTCCATTATGCTAAAGGTACTTCAGGAAGGCCACAGAAGGGTGGAGGAAAATGAAGCACATATTAATGAGTATTAAAAACTGATGACCCAAGATTCAGAGGTGAATTTAGGACTGGGTCTAAGTAACCTTGTCATACAGAAAAGAGTGATAGCCAAATGCATGTTTGAACATGAAATTAGGAATGAGAAAGCATATGCCAGAGTCACTTTATTTGAAGTTAAGGATATTATTCATTTTTCAGCACCACTAATATTTTGTTCCATTTTGACAACATAATAAAGAAATCTGAATAATTTTAAGCCCCTGGAATTAATACAACATCTGTAGTAAGTTGGAAGTGAGCCAGTCCTATTGTTAGACAACTCCTGGAAAACAATGTTCTGTCATTGCCACTTTTATGATTGTACAAAACTTTCCAGAGCAGTCTAAAGATAATTGAAATCTAGTCCCTGTAGGGATAACTTCTAGTACAAAAAAAGCATGATAGATTTAAAAGAAAAATCTTTATTTCACTTCCAGTTCATTTTACGAAAGTTTTGAAAGATATAGAGCCAAGATAAGAAATGGAAATTGTGACTATAGAACTATCATTGTAAAAAGAACTGATGAAAGATTAATATTTCTTTAAAATCAGGCCTGACTTTAGAATTTGTTATAGATAAATGCTTAATGTGATGAACTATGCACACCTCAGTAAACAATGGGTCTAGCTATTCAACATAAAATTCATTGTATCAAAGTGTTTTCAACTGGATATAGTAATTCAAGAATCTAATTTGCTAAATCTGTTTTGTCTTTTTATTCTGGATACTGGGATAGGTTATCTGACAAATACTGGCTGTAAGGAAACACAATATAAAAGAATTGCTTTGATCATGTAGCCTCACAGGTTTTGAAAACAGAAGTTCTGAATACAAGACCATAAAAAATTTTTTTTATTTACACAAAACCATACATCCTTTGTATAGCAAAGTTCTTCACTATTAGTATTATTTTTCTAACTACATAACAAAACGTGACAATTTTTTGTATTCTTCTTAAACTAAGCTGCCAGATTTTGGTTATGATTTGCAGTATACTTCATAGTAAATTACATGAGCTGCTACATCTTGCCCATGTAAAGTTTTTGACTTCTAGAAATGTAGCTTAGGATACTGAAATTTATATGCCTAAATGTGAACGCTATGTGACCAAGTTGTTCATCTGTCGCATTTTTCATAAAATATAAGACAGGCTGCTCCAAGTCTCTTTGCTCGCATTTCGTTCTGAAACTTAGTGAGTTCTCAAGATAGCACACACTTTTTTGTCATTCCAGGTATAGATAAATCTGTAAACGCTGATTACGCAGGGAGACCAGAGTAGGTAAAAGGAATAGACTATACCACATATTTATTTTGGTCCATCATTCTAAGAGCTTTCATAAAAGAATGGTGAAATGTTCAAACTGACAGTAGAAGCAGTTGCAGCTACTATAATGTCCATTCCTGCCTCCATTACTATTGCTACAGCAGAACTACACAACCTGCCCATGAGTCACCTTAATTGCTATCTTCTGTAAGCCTCCATTGACTAAGATCAAACATCCAGTTACAAGTGATTTTTGCATGTTCCTTAGAACCCAGAAACATTAAAATAAGCCCACACATGACAAAAAAATTTTAGTCTACGAAGTTTAAATGCAGGAGGCCTCCACTCTATTCTTTGTACTACTAGTACTACTCAGAATATTCTTATTTAGAATAATAAAATAACATCCAGTTGAATAGGATGGGGCTTTGTTAGTTGGGGGGGGTTATTCTTGGGTTTTTTATTTATTTGTGATTTTACTTTGTATTGTCCTTGTACACCAAACAGACAGCTGAATTTTAGCAATGAAAGACTCAGACCCAATTTCAGTGTAAATAGCATGTCCTTTTGTTTACAACTGTAACTTGTGAAGACATGATTTTCTAAATATGGGTGTTCTATATTCTTTGTCTTTTAAACTACATTAATATTTGTTGAAGCATACTGATCATGATGATCATTCCAGTAAATTATCTTTACATATCAGTAATTCTAGAATTCCCATGGGATGACAGCAGAACATTCTAATTTAATTAGAAGCTGAAGGCAGATAAATAAGATTTTTTTTCAGTTGATGAGTGACTAAGTCCTTGAAAACCTTACCAAAGTCTTTGGTACCACAGCAGCACATGTTTATAGATCAGTAAGACTGCATTTCCATAAAATGTGTCCTAACTGAAAAGTAAATTGCAAATTTGGGGCAGTAATTATTAATGAAATTCTACTGTTTGTGTCACAGAGGAAATCAGTCCAGACATTCACTGTGGTCTGTGTTATCAGCAGACAAAAAAATGTACTGTATAGGAGTTTGATCCGAGGCCAATAAAATCCCAGCAGATGTAATTGGGCTTTAGGTAAGATTGTAGAGATAAGTTCAAGACAAAATTGAGAAACAGTCAAAGATTACAAAAATGTGTAAACACTGTGCATTGCATTTGATTTCGACACAAATATTCACCATGTAAATCTATCTATGTAAGTTCAAGAACCAATTTTATGTCAAACTGAATGTTTATTTCATACTCACTCATACATATTCTTCAATGGTGAAGTTAAAATAGCTAGCACAGAGATCAGACTATTGCAGTGGCTATGTATTCTACAGATCTTGAAATCTCTGTCTTCACGTGGATTCAGAAACTCCTGTACAGAACTACAAATCGACCACAGTATATCTTCAGTGGACATCAATATTGCTGCAATATCGATTCTGTAGGAAAAAAACAAGGTGAGAATAACATTACTTAGGACATCTGGATAATGGTAAATTTCAATCAAACAGACCTTTCCTCTGACAAGATAAAATACCTAAATCATTGCATAGAATTTAAATTCATCTTCAGTGATGCAGGAAGTCTGAAACTACAACTCTAAAAATGCAGCATTTGCACAGAACAGCTGGCATGAAACTAGTGAAAAGAAGACTTAAAAACTCAGAAATGTCCTTTTCCAAAAGAACAATGCCACTAGGTGGGAACAACTTACTTTCTAAACTAAAAGTAAATAAAAGTAAATTTTGTTTTCCTTATGATAACATATAATTAGAATGCACATAGTATTTTCAAAACCTGATGGTGCAAAAAGGTAATGAAAAGGAACTCAGTCTTCAATTTGCAAAACCTAACATGCCTGGCAGGTGAACTCCATACTACAATGTACAACATTTCTGTGCCAGTAATCTGTTGCCCGTTGATACTGGCTGGCAGAGCATCATGGGTTACTGGCTTGAATAATAGCAAGAACCCAAACTACACCACCACAATCTCACAAGACTATGCTGATGTATGACACACAGGAAAAAGATGTATAACACAAAATATATGGAAGGCATGAGGTTGGACTGAAAGAAGTACCTAAGTACCTAAAAGCCAATGGATGCACATGACCATCTGCATTTTCATGGATTTTTTTTTTTGACAAATCTAGACAAATACACATGAACAGACAGCTCTCTATATTACAGATCGAATCTCTAATATTTCAAGAACTATTGGGATAAAAGCCCCACAAACTGCAGCATTATAAACGAAAAAAGGTTAAACCTTTGTGATAAAAATATGTTGAATTATATTGAGTAATTTTTTTTTCATTTGTTCATGACTGGATAATTGAATTTACTTAGCAAAAATTCAAGACTCACCTTATTGGATAAAACACCCTATCTACAAAATGACAATATAAAAAGTTCTTTCTTGTTCAGTTTTTGAAGCAAATTAATATAGAATTGACTAATACTACATTTAAGAAGTACTGTATTTTTCATATTTCACACAGAAAAGCCTAACAGCAGTAAATCAGTGCAGAAATAGAGCATACGAACAGGTACTACTATATGCAGAATAAAACTTCTTTTTTTCCTACCCATTACACAAATGCAATTGTGTGTGTTACTTGAGCTTCCATGACACTACTCCTTTTCATAATAAAACTTGAGATGACAGCACATAACTCACAGCTCACACAGAACATATTGCTGCTGAGTGTCCCTAACCCCTACAAATTACAAACTCTTAAACTCTTCTTGGTGGTGCCAAGCAATAGGACAAAAGACAACAGGCAGAAACTGTTGCACAAGAAGTTCCACCTGAATACGAGGAAGAACTTCTATACTGTCTGGAACACACTGCGCAGAGAGGTTGTGGAGTCTCCCTCACTGGAGATCGTCAAGAACTGCCTGCATATGATTTTGTACAATGTGCTCTAGGATGACCCTGCTCAAGCGAGAAGGTTGGACCAGCTGACCCACCATGGTCACTTCCAAACTTACTCAGTCTGTGTGATTCTGTTATGAGAAATACACCAATTTATTCAGCAAAACAAGATATTGGATTGAAAGAGAAAAGGCAGAGGTAGGGTAAGCTTCCACTTGAAGACACTTGTTTTAGTATTTCTCAAGAAGCCTGTCCTCTCTGGCAAAACATAAAAATCCCAAGAAGAACTTCAGCTTCTTAGTTCCTAAAATGACAGAAGAAGGAATAACTGCTTTTACCTCTCACCTTCTGCACCACTGGCTTCATTCTGGCAATTTTTTTGATGAGACTTTATAGCTTTTTCACTTGAAAACCCAAATTCTATTGGAACACATGGACTTTTCTTGATGAATCAAAAGCTTGATTTCTAATCCTGATGCTGCCAATTCTGCTCACATTTTTGGTTGCAACACTACTCCTCAATGTACTTTCATCATGAGGCTTTCAACCAATCAAGCAGATATGAAACAACTTCACCAAGAGTTCAGAAGAGGTCTTTGATTCTGCCCAGTTTTGCTATGACCACCAATACTTAAGTATGCAAAATAAATTGAATTAAAATGAACATCAAAATGCATGAATTTGCTCTATCTGCTCTGCTGTGTTCATTAACATTTAAATCTGAATCAAAGCAGTATGTAACAGAAAACTAACATTTACTCTCTTTATTCACTAAAATTGTGCATTAAATATACAAGCATTACCTGATTTGTGGTGTTCTTTTGTAACTGGGACACACCTGACAATATCTGGAGGACAACATATCCAAAGATTGCTCTAGTACATCTGTAAGAACATCCTGGGCTGTCTTTGGAGGTAGAATAGTCCACAGATCATGATAAAGAGCACAGCAGAAGTAATGCCACATCTGAACAGAGAATGAGCATCTTTCTCCCTAGCAAAACCACCACACATTAAAAAATAAATACGCACCTTTCAAAATGTCAATTTAATTCTTATAAGTCTAATTAATTCAATTAATTAATTCAAGTCACAAAATTATACGTCTGCCACAAAACCAAACCACAGCATTTGATCTCTTATATCCTCAGTTAACCTATTCTCAAAACACATAGTGTTGTAAGTTTACTTTAAAAACATATACAATATTCTGTACTCACTAGAACTGTCCTCAAAGAAAATAATTATCTGAACCATTTAGGCACATGTATTTACTGGGATTCATAAATTCTGTGAATAACTGTGATTAAGAAACTTTGGGTATACATAATGGATATGCAATAACAGCAGAAACAACTGAACAATTAAACAAGTAATAAGAGATGTCCAGAATTTTTTAGTAAGATATTTTTTCATCTTATAATGGTAATTCACTGAAACTGAACATTTTCTGGGAAGAAATCAGCGTTGGAATTACTATTTCATTCTCTATACAGAATTATCCCATTAAGGCACAGAAATAAATACACACGAGTTAAAATCACAGTGGTTAACCAATAATATCTCTACGAAGTACATATTTCAACCAGCATTTAAATATTTCAACTAATATCTATTCAGAAAATAGCATTATGATGAAACTGCATGAGAACAGAGACTTCAATCCTCACTTTAGACACTCCAAAGGAACCGAGAAATATTTTAAGAATTTACTATTATTTTAGCATAATCAGAAATATAAAATAACCTCATGATTTTTAAAACACTTTCAGTGTTTGGTGAGCATTCTTTAATAATAAAAATAAAAATTAATCTGCTTTCTTTTTAAATACACTGCATCAGCAGATCATTTGGTCTTTCTCTGCCATAATATTTCAAGTGTATTTCAAATTAAAATGTGGTAGATTATGACAAAGAATAGAAGTACCAAACTTGTGACCACTGCTCTAGTCATTAAATTTATTCATGCAAAAAATGAAAAATAAACCTAAATTAGGGTATCCACTTTTTTGTATTTCACTAATACAGAAGAGAAATATGTAATACAGGTAAGTTCCAAAGAAGTTCATATGACTAATTGTCTTTTACCTACAACCATAGACATCTTATTTCAATAGGCAAACAAAAAAAAAATCACTCCAGTATTTTGAACAATCAAGAACTTGACAAGTATTTCCATACTGATAAAACAGGATTGTCTTATATTAACCAAAAAGTGATATAATAAAATAATGGACATATTAAAATAATTTCCTCTTTTTATTAATGAAATAAAATTACTGTTGTAATTACTGCACGATATATGGAAGCATAAGAAAAAAGTACAAGTTTACATCATAACACATTTCACAAGATCAGAACTTTGCATAACTTGAATGTTAATATATTTCTAGATGCTCGGGGGTTTAGATATATATTACCACGACTACTTCTCAGGCACATTCAAGTAGAACCTATCCAGAAATAAATCCCTAACCCTGTCTTACTGACATTCTACTGAGATTTCTGATTCTTTGCAAAAACATTTCAACTGTTACAGAATAAGCTTACCAGGTAAAAAATAATTAGTCTGAATGTCTAATGGAAGCTAATTAATTTTAGTTGTAGCTTTAATTTCAAAAATACCTTTAAAATTTTCAAAAACTATGCAGATTTAACAAACAAAATTACAATTCAAAACTGACATTCTGACATAGGGTACTTATTTTTTTAGTAACTGAATATTGGCAAGTTTTACTTTTTAACTGTGTAGCTATAAACAGAAATTGTTTCATTTTCGCTGCTTATTTAATATAAGCAGTAAACTGAATAATACTTTTCCCCCCCTTTTTTAGCATTGTAGCTCCTCTGCAAAAGCAAGTTTCACTGAAGATTTAAATGAGATTCATTCTCCTTTTCTGATCTCTTTTTCTATTTATTGCCATTTCTAGACAATTCTACTGGTAAACATCTGCTATTTTTGCAGGCTTCATATAATACAAACAGATGTGAGCTTCTATTTGCCTTACATATCAGGAAACAAGCAGCTGCACTTTATTACGTAAGCCACTCGATATAGACAATTCTTTAGTCTTTGACTATTAGAAAACATAAGTTCCCAAAGCTACAGCAGATGTCTGCTACACTAAAAGCTTCATTTAAAAACAATCTGCAGAACTGGCCCAGTGGCACACTCT